TCGGCGCTGGCAGCAAAATCTGGGGCCTCGACCCAAACAACGGCCACATCCGGTGGATGAAGGAGGGCCCGACGTTGTGGACTGGCTTCTGTGCTGGTGACAAGGTCCTACTCCTCCTCCTCCTCCTCGTTTTCCTTTGCCTCGCTATTCACCTCTTCTCTGCCTCTCCTCTTGCCCCTCGTCCTCCTCCTGCTCCACTTGCTTGTTCTCTCTCTCTCTCTCTCTCTTCCTCCTTCTCCTCCTGCTCGTTCTCTCCTTCTCTTCCTGCTCGTTCTCCTCCTGCTCGTCCTTCTCCTCCTTCTCTTTCTCCTTCTCCTCCTTGTCCTCCTGCTCCTCTTCCTGCTCGTCCTTCGCCTGCTCTCCATCCTCCGCCCTTCCCCCTCCTGCCCGCCCTCAGGAGGGGGCCGACATCCGCCGGGCCATGGGCGGCCGCGAGAAGTGCAACCCGAACAGCTGGTCCATGCCGGTGGCCGATTCGACGGGCGACTTCTACGTTGGCAACCAGGTGGGGGTGGTGGTGGCTCTGCTGCTCCTTCTTCTTCTGCTCCCGTCCCGCCAAATCCGTCCCAAGCCGGTCCCTGGTTTCCTCCTGGTGTTCATCCTGGCCAGTTTTTCGAGCTGCTTCTAGCCGTGGCGACGAGAAGCTCCAGAGACGCCCCAAATCATCGGAAACGTCGTCGTCGTCGCCGCAGGTGTCTCCCGAAGCCCCCTCATCAATCTAAATACCTTGGTAATCAGGTCGGCGAGCTGATGAGGTACGGCTTAGAAACCCACTCGACGAACACGAGGCCCGACCTCCTCTCGACCCTGACGACCGGTGTGGCCTTCCAGGACGCCGCCATCGCTTTCGGCTCGGGCTTCATGGCGGTGTCCACATGCACCTCCCTCATCGTCTTTGCGAGCATGGCAGGATTCGAAAACCAGACCTGGTCCGTCTCGCACAGTGACTACTCACCGATCTCCAACATGGTCCACGGCGAGGACATCTCGCACGAGATCTCGGAAGAGAGCCATGGCGACATCTCGGTCACGCCGAAGGTAGATTCGGACGACATCTGGTCCAACGACGAGCCCGTCTACGACCCGAACATTGACGGCCACACCTACAACCGAAGGATGGCGAAGGCGAAAGACGTCACTTACTGAGCGCGGCGCAGGCCTAGGGGCAGCCCAGTAGCACGTTCTCCAACCGCCCTCCCTCCCTCCTCCCTCCTTCTCCCTCCCTTCTCCGTGCTCCTCCACTCCTCTCCCTCCTCTTCCAACCGCCGCCATCCTTCCTCCCCGCCCTCCTTCCTCTCTCCTCCTCCTTCTCTTCGTGATTCCTCCTCCTCCTCCTCCTATGTAATCCTGCTCCCCCTCCTTCTATTATATCTACGAGTATTGCCTCCTGCTGCCTCCTATTACCTGTCCCCTCTTCCCCTGCTCCTCCTCCTCTTCCTCATCCTCCTCATACTACTACTACTACTTCTACTACTACTACTACTACTACTACTACTACTACTACTACTACTACTACTACTACTACTACTACTACTACTACTACTACGATTACTACGACCACTACTACTACTACTACTACTACCACTACTACTACTACTACTACTACTACTACTACTACTACTACTATAACTACTACTACCACTACACTCCACTACTAACTACCACACTACTACACTACTACCACTACTACCACTACCACTACTACGAATCTACTAGAATACGACCGACGATTATTATTACTACTACTACTACGGACAATACTAGTTTTACTACTTTTACTACGAGTACTATAATAATACTGACTACTCATACTACTACCGAGGCTACCACTACTACTACTACTCTTACTACTACTGACTATTACTTATACTACTACTTACTACTACTTACGACTACTACTACTACTACTACTACTACTTTTACTACCACTACTACTACTAACTATACCACTACTTAGTCATTTACTTACTGACTCCTTCTACGACGACGACGGGGGGATACTACTACTACTACTTACTACTATGACTACCTAATACTACTAGTACGACTACTACTACGACTACTACTACTACTACTACTACTACTACTATTGCTACCTACTACTACTACGACTACTACTACTACTACTATTGCTACCTACTACTCTCTACTACTACCTACTACTGCTGCTACTACCACTAATATGGTAACTGTTACTACTACTACTGTTTTTTACTACTACTAATATTACTACTACTACTGCTACTACTACGACTGCTACTACTACTGCTACTACTACTACTACTGCGACTCTTACTACTACTACGGCTACTACTACGACGACGACGACGACTACTACTACTACTACTACTACCTATACCTACTACCTGCTTATTACCTACTACGTACTACCTATTACCACTACTACTTACTACCTAGTACCTACCACGTGCCACCTACTATTATTACTACTGCTACCACTACTACTACTACTACTACTACTACTGCTACTCTGGATACTACGGCCTACTACTACTACTACCACTACGAATACGACTACGACTACGACTACTACCTATGGCTACTACTACTACTACTACTACTACTACTACTACTACTACTACTACTACTACTCCTGCGGCAACTACTACTACTACTACTATTTCTACTACTACTACGATTCGCACTAGTAGTACGACTACTACTTTTACGATTACTTCTACTACTACTTCTACCACTTCCAGTACTACTGTTGCTTCTACTACTACTACTACTACTGCAACTACTACTACTATTACGACTACTACTACTACTACTACTGCTACTACTACCACTACTATTATCACTACTACTGTTACTACTACTACTACTACTACTACTACTACTACTACTACTACTACTACTACTACTACTACTACTACTACTACTACTAATACTACTATTGCTACCTACTACTCTCTACTACTACCTACTACTGCTGCTACTACCACTAATATGGTAACTGTTACTACTACTACTACTGATTTTTTTATTACCACTAATATTACTACTGCTACTGCTACTACTACGACTGCTACTACTACTGCTACTACTACTACTACTGTGACTCTGACTACTACTACAGCTACTACTACGACGACGACGACGACGACGACGACTACTACTACTACTACTACTACTACCTATACCTACTACCTACTTATTACCTACCTACCTGCCTGTCTGCCCACCTACCTACCTACCTACTACTCACTACCGACTACCCACTACCTACTACTTACTATCTCTACTACCCACTACCTACTCCCCACTACCCACTACTACTGCTACTGCTACCACCACGACTACTACTACTACTACTACTACTACTACTAGTACTGCTACCACTATTATTGCTACTAGTATTACTACTACCTACTACTACCTACTGCTACTATTATTATTACTTCTACCACCACTACTACGACTACTACTACTACTACTACTACTGCGACTACTGCGACTACTACTACTACTACTACTACTACTACTACTACGACTACGACTACCGACGACTACGACTGCTACCACTACTACCGCTACTACTAGTGCTACTACTACTACTACTACTACTACTACTACTACTACTACTACTACTACTACTACTACGACCACTACTACTACTACTACTACCACTACCACTACCACTACGACTACTACTACGACTACGACGACGACTACTACTACTACTACTACTACGTTTGCTACTACTACTACGACTACGACTACTACTACTACTACTACGATTACTGCGATGAGGGCGACTACTATTACTACTACTACTACACTACTACTACTACTAGTACTACTACTACGGCTACTACTACTACTACTACTACTACTACTACTACTACGACTATTGCTACTACTACAAATACTACGACTACTTCGACGACTACTACTACTACTTATGCTACTACTGCTGCTGCTACGACTACTCGTACTGCTGCTACTACTACTACTACTACTACTACTACTACTACTACTACAACTACTATTACTACTACTACTACTACTACTACTACTACACTTAATACTCCTACTACCTACTACTAATACTACTGACTACTACGGCACTACTACTACTACTACTTCAACCACCACTACTACTTACGACTCGCTACGACTACTACTACTATACTACTAACTACTACTACTACACATACTACTACTTACTACGACTACTACTTACTGCTATACTACGACTAGTCGTTCGTCGGTCGTCGTTGTAGTAGTTAGTAGTAGTAGTAGTAGTAGTAGTATAGTAGTAGTAGTCGTAGTAGTAGTAGTAGTAGTAGTAGTAGTAGTAGTAGTAGTAGTAGTAGTAGTAGTAGTAGTAGTAGTAGTAGTAGTACTCCTACTCCGACTCGGACCACGACTACTACTATTATTTCTACTGCCACTACGGCTAGCACTACTACTACTTGCTGTCACGTGCGCCACATCACCACGACTCGACCACGTTGGGACGAGCGTCCTGTGGCTGCTTCATTTCTCTACACTGAGACATGCGCCGTGTGGGGTGCAATTCAAGCAAGGCGGCGGGGCGCACCCCACGGTTTAGCGAAGCCGTAGTGCCGCGGCCAGGGCGCATCAAGACGGGCCTGACCCAGCACAGCCGCAGGACGCACGGCACACGGAGCTACCACCCCAGTACCGCCCGACCCTGCGTGGCCGCCAAGGTGCACCAAGAAAAACAACACAGGCCGTGCAGCACGCGGGGCTGCCCCAGTACCGCCCGACCCCTGAAGCTCGGGAGACCCCATGTGGCAAAGGCCTACTGCGAGAGACGGGGCGGGGCAGGCCAAAATGGCTGGTCACTTAGCTGAAGTGCCGAGGGCAACACGGCCACGCTGCAGACGGCCCGCAGCCCTCGGGGCGGCCCTAGCACTACAGAGTAGCACAAGGGCACACCAGAGAGGCCACGGTATAGCCTCAATCCGCCACGAGATGGAGCGCCATGGCGGTTACTAAAGGTGGCGCGGCGCCGAGATGGCGCACAATGTTAGCGCAGGCGTGCAGCCACTCACACACTCATTCGGGCCTTGAGGCCCTAGGGCTTCAGAGCCGCCCGGTCTTGCCTAGGGGGACGTCGGACGGGGGCGCACGAACCACCCCGCCCCACTGACTACCACTACTACTACTACTACAACTGCTACTGCTACTGCTACAGCTACTGCTACTGCTACTGCTACTACTACTACTACTACTACTACTACTACTACTACTACTACTACTACTACTACTACTACTACGTCTACTACGACTAGTACGACTACTACTACTACTACTACTACTACTACTATTCCGACTACGACTACAACAGCAACAACCACTACCACTACTACTACTACTACTACTACTACTACTACTACTACTACTACTACTACTACTACTACTACTACTACTACTACTACTACTAACTAATGACTACTAAATAAAACTCTACTACTACTACTATCACTACTACTACTTGTAGCTACTGGCTATCTACTAGCTACTCTTCAAAACACTACTACTATCTACTACTACTACTACTACTACTAACACTACTAAGTACTACTACTACTACTACTACTATACTACTAGCTACCTACTACTGCTACTACGACTATCACTACATACCGCTAACGACTGCTGACTGGCTACTAACTACTACTAACTAACTACTTACTAACTACTACTACTACTACTACCACTACTACCACTACTACTACTACTACTACTACTACTACTACTACCACTACAACAACTACTACTACTACTACTACTAATACTAACTACTACTACTACTACTACTACTACTACTACTACTACTACTACTACTATTACTACTACTACTACTACTACTACTACTACTACTACTACTACTACTACCATTACTACTACTACTAACGACTACTACTGCGACTACTCCTACAACTACTA